TGTAAATTAAATCCAAAAAGATGATGTCACCAACACATTTCCAACTTTTAGAAGTTTTTCCGGGGTCCGGAAAGTCCGGATAATCGAAAGTCCGGATAATCGAATGTCCGGATAATCGGATGTCCGGATAATTGAATGTCCGGATAATCGAATGTCCGGATAAACGAATGTCCGGATAATCGAATGTCCGGATAATCAAATGTCCGGATAATCGAATGTCCGGATAATCGAAAGTCCGGATAACCGAAAGTCCGGATAACCGAATGTCCGGATAATCAAATGTCCGGATAATCGAATGTCCGGATAATCGAATGTCCGGATAATCGAATATCCGGATAACCGAAAGTCCGGATAACCGAAAGTCCGGATAACCGAAAGTCCGGATAACCGAAAGTCCGGATGACCGAAGGTTCGGATAATCGAATGTCCGGATAATCGAATGCCCGGATAATCGAATGTCCGGATAATCGAATGTCCGGATAATCGAATGTCCGGATGATCGAATGTCCGGATGATCGAATGTCCGGATAATCGAATGTCCGGATAATCGAATGTCCGGATAATTGAATGTCCGGATAATCGAATGTCCGGATAATCGAATGTCCGGATAATCGAATGTCCGGATAATCGAATGTCCGGATAATCGAATTTTCGGATAATCGAATGTCCGGATAATCGAATGTCCGGATAATCGAATGTCCGGATAATCGAATGTCCGGATAATCGAATGTCCGGATAATCGAATTTTCGGATAATCGAACGTACGGATAATCGAATGTCCGGATAATCGAATGTCTGGATAATCGAATGTCCGGATAATCGAATGTCCGGATAATCGAATGTCCGGATAATCGAACGTCCGGATAATCGAATGTCCGGATAATCGAATGTCCGGATAATCGAATGTCCGGATAATCGAACGTCCGGATAATCGAACGTCCGGATAATCGAATGTCCGGATAATCGAATGTCCGGATAATCGAATGTGCGGATAATCGAATGTCCGGATAATCGAATGTCCGGATAATCGAATGTCCGGATAATCGAATGTCCGGATAATCGAATGTCCGGATAATCGAATGTCCGGATAATCGAATGTCCGGATAATCGAATGTCCGGATAATCGAACGTCCGGATAATCAAACGTCCGGATAATCGAATGTCCGGATAATCGAATGTCCGGATAATCGAATGTCCGGATAATCGAATGTCCGGATAATCGAATGTCCGGATAATCGAATGTCCGGATAATCGAATGTCCGGATAATCGAATGTCCGGATAATCGAATGTCCGGATAATCGAATGTCCGGATAATCGAATGTCCGGATAATCGAATGTCCGGATAATCGAATTTTCGGATAATCGAATGTCCGGATAATCGAATGTCCGGATAATCGAATGTCCGGATAATCGAATGTCCGGATAATCGAATTTTCGGATAATCGAATTTTCGGATAATCGAATTTCCGGATAATCGAATTTCCGGATAATCGAATGTCCGGATAATCGAATGTCCGGATAATTGAATGTCCGGATAATCGAATGTCCGGATAATCGAATGTCTGGATAATCGAATTTTCGGATAATCGAATGTCCGGATAATCGAATGTCCGGATAATCGAATGTCCGGATAATCGAATGTCCGGATAATCGAATTTCCGGATAATCGAATGTCCGGATAATCGAATGTCCGGATAATCGAATGTCCGGATAATCGAATGTCCGGATAATCGAATGTCCGGATAATCGAATGTCCGGATAATCGAATGTCCGGATAATCGAATGTCCGGATAATCGAATGTCCGGATAATCGAACGTCCGGATAATCGAACGTCCGGATAATCGAACGTCCGGATAAACGAACGTACGGATAATCGAATGTCCGGATAATCGAATGTCCGCATAATCGAATGTCCGGATAATCGAATGTCCGGATAATCGAATGTCCGGATAATCGAATGTCCGGATAATCGAATGTCCGGATAATCGAATGTCCGGATAATCAAACGTCCGGATAATTGAATGTCCGGATAATCGAATGTCCGGATAATCGAATGTCCGGATAATCGAATGTCCGGATAATCGAATGTCCGGATAATCGAATGTTCGGATAATCGAATGTCCGGATAATCGAATGTCCGGATAATCGAACGTCCGGATAATCGAACGTCCGGATAATTGAATGTCCGGATAATCGAATGTCCGGATAATCGAATGTCCGGATAATCGAATGTCCGGATAATCGAATGTCCGGATAATCGAATGTCCGGATAATCGAATGTCCGGATAATCGAATGTCCGGATAATCGAATGTCCGGATAATCGAATGTCCGGATAATCGAATGTCCGGATAATCGAACGTCCGGATAATCGAACGTCCGGATAATCGAATGTCCGGATAATCGAATGTCCGGATAATCGAATGTGCGGATAATCGAATGTCCGGATAATCGAATGTCCGGATAATCGAATGTCCGGATAATCGAATGTCCGGATATTCGGATATTCGGATATTCAGATATTTCGACATTCCGATACTCCGATATTCCGATAGAGCTAAATGTACAAAAAATGGCAGTTCTTGAGAGAACTAAGTGCCCGATTTGAATGATTCAAAGAACTTTCTGCTATTCAGATATTCGGATATTCGGGTATTCGGATATTCGGATATTCGGATATTCGGATATTCGGATATTCGGATATTCGGATATTCGGATATTCGGATATTCCGAGATTCGGATATTCCGAGATTCGGATATTCCGAGATTCGGATATTCCGAGATTCGGATATTCCGAGATTCGGATATTCCGAGATTCGGATATTCGGATATTCGGATATTCGGATATCCGGAATATCTGAATATCCGGAATATCTGAATATCCGAATATCTCTAGAAATTGATTAGAATATACATTACTTAGCAAAACAACGTTTGCCGGGTCAGCTAGTAATTTATATATTTTCAGAAACAAATGCTTCCACTTTGAATTTGTAATTACGATTATCCGTAAAAAGTAAAATAAATGAAATAAGAAGGTATTTTTCCTTTGGTAAAATTGTAAAATATACATTATTCGTTCGTTATACAGTTTTTATTATTTAAAGAAAAAAATTATAAATCGATCATATATTGCAAAAAAATTTAATATTTATTTCAATGTTAATCAATTTAACCCACACCTATTTACTTACTTAAAACGCGATTTCGATAGAGATATATGCCAAAAAACAATTTAACATATAATATTTCTTAGCCTGTTGTATTTTATTTATGAGAACAATAAATTTGCCTATTATCATACAAACATAATTAACGTCATTCATCACACGTAATTGTCGAGACGTTCTTGATTTTTTAAAAATTAATTCATATTTTTGCGTAATATAGGTATCAGCAAAAACTCTAATTATAAAAAGTATCTATTTCGTTAAGTTTTTGGCAATTTATAGGAAAACTTTTAGAAATTTTAATTCTGCTAATTATAAATCAAGTTATAAAGAAATGTTTATTATTTAAGAAATAGAAGTACCAATTGAGGCAAAACTATTGAACATATAATATAACTTTATTTATTGAACATATAATAACTACATATAATAACAAATAATGATTGTATTTTATTTCTCGAACCAGAAACAGAACAGAACAAATTTCAAAACAAATCAAGATTTTTGAAATAAATTGTTGTAAAGAAGTTAAGAAGGAATCTTTATAAATTAGGAATGAGTTCTTGAAAGGCATACATTTTTAAATTGTCCACCTTTTTTCGAAAACTATATAAAACCTTCTCTTATTGTATTTTGCACTTATAAATTGATATAAAAATTAGAATAGTAACGTAACAATTGCAATCTAACATAAGTTTTTATTTAAAAAATATCGCCAATACCAAAATGGAGTCGATGGTTTTGTCGAAATGTTTATGTTAATATATCGTGAATTATTAGTGCTTATGTCAAATCTCATAAAAGTTACAAAATTATGATGATAAAACTATCAGTCATATGCTGAAAAATATTACTAACGATATATATCATCATGATGATATAGCAAATTTTGCCCACAAATAGTCAAAACAGTATAATTACAAGAATAAAGAAAAACATTTTATTTATTTGCAGATTAATTGTATTATCTTATAGTCATATCAAATTAATGCACGATTATCATGCCATTGGGAACAATAAAAAACATTAATAATAAATTCTGTAAAACAATGATATTTTTCAAAATTAACTAGATCCACCGCAGGTAAAGAAGATATCCTTGACGAATTCAAGATGTTTCAATGTGATCTTTCTTTTCTTAAAGATCACCAATTAAAAGCTGTATATTTCAAAAACCCATGATGCAAGACAATAAATTAATAATGATTTTAAAATTTAAACAACAATAATCAAAAACAACACGTAAACAAAATGTATAATCACTTATTAACATGTGGACTTTGAAAATATGTTTGAAATCTCATTTTTTTGAAAACCTTTGGTCAGAAGATGTTTTACGAAATATTGTTATTTATACTATTTTAGAAAATACAGTATATCCAAAATATCAAAATAAAGTCGATCATCTTTGATTGTATCTATACTGACAACTACTTATTGTTTTCACATATTTGTCCTCATAACTTTTTACAAAATTAAATTAAAATGATGTAGATTTATTAATACAAGTAAAAATGCTTTTAATTAAAAAAATCAGAATGATTTCTATGATTTTATCTACACTCACAATTTCCTACAAAAATTAATAAAATAGATTTATTTATAAAACAGTTATTTCATTTTATTTTATTACTTTTATCTGTTTATAACTTGGTAATATATTCTGTATTTAAGTTAGTTTTTTAATTATTAAAATTTTTTTAATGTAGAACGTGCCTCCTACCAAATTGCGTACGTCTGACATGGCTCATGTAGAACTTCTTAGCGTCAGACACATATGACTGATATGGCGGTTAACGTGTTAAATTATGTTATTTTTTTCTATTTCAGTGGCAAGATGAGTCCATCAACTGGCCCCACATGGTTTACCGATGGATGCTGGGGCTCTTCTTCTTCTGCTTGGTAGTGGCCTCGTGGACACTCCAAGAAGAAGGCCCCGAACTCTGGCTAATCTATTTAACACATTGGGGAATCGTCTTCTGTTGCGTGCAAACGCTTTTTGCCGCGGTATTGGTTACATACCGACACTGCCAGATACTAAAACTTCGTAAGTCAGTTTAGATTACATATAAAGTTGATTAATGTTAAATGGAAATTAATGTGAATTGTAAAAAAAAATCTAAAAAGGATACAGCAGTCACGAACTAATCTTGCTCTGCAAAATCTGCTTTCTTACGTCATTTTACAGTTATTCAAAGTTAAGGTTTTTTAGTCGTTATTTTTATCTTGTTCAGACATTTAGTTCTTCATGTTTACTAGATAGAAATTCAATAAGTTTATGTATTTCTATTTTTAGGATAATAGTGCATTTTTCTATAATTGAGATGAATTTATGTATGAACATGAACAATTTAACTGAAATGTTTTAAAAACAAAAAAAACACATCTGAGATTCGTAACATATTATTTTTCGATTGTGAGCACACTAGATTAGTTTTACAGACATTAATATAATTTTATAGTATTTAATAGTTTTATAAGATATATTGTTAATTTGGGTGGGGTAAAAGGAAACAACTAAATCTTCACCCTGGCAAAGGTGTAAAAAAAGTTAATAAAAAAGCAATTCAAGTTAAAATAAGAAATTTTACAAGAGAAAAAGTTTTTTACTATTTTATTTAATAAATAGTTTTTTCAACTCGGCTGATGAATATTTCTGACGAAATACCAGATCAAGGTTTAACAAGGTTTACAGGTGTATCTCTGTAAAAAATGCACCCATGTAAATTTATAATTTGCATTGGTTGAATAAATTAGCTATTATTTTGTAAAAAAAACCATTTAAATAAAAATACAATTTTTGCCCTGTAGCCGTCAAAATTTACTCCGTCTATGGGGTAAAAAAGACCAGGTTACAAAAATTTATGAAACAGCAAAAAAAAAACACACATTTCTAGAATGATGAATTTGCTGTGATTTTTACTGAACATAGTCAGATAGTTGATTGTTTGATATGTGTTATTTGTTATGATATTATTGTTTTAGTTTTCATAATATAGTTGTTCAAAGTCAAACTGGACCTTTGACCCCCGCTCTTACAATATTTTATACATAATTAATAAATATTACAATAGTAGGCGCTTTCTTCAGCATTTATCTTCTAAATAATTTATGTATATTTCATTCAACAACATAAGAAAACATCAATTTTAAAATAATAACCTTTATTCATACTGCTATGTTCTTATATTATTTTATTATTCGTATGTTGTATATGTGTATGTAGCTTTTCATTCGATATAATTATCAATGATTTAATTTCATATTAAATTTATAAGTCTGTAAAAGCCAATCTGTAACACATGAAAGTACCTTGCAATTGCAAAATGTTTGTCGGCAATTGCGAATTTATTGCATGTGGAAATATTATGCCTGTATATATAATGAATTTCATCACAAATATTAAGTTCAGAATATTAATCACTTTAAATCCAATAAATTTACCAGTAAAACCTGGTAAATGAATGCATTTATATACTAAAGGGCTTTAAATAATGTGCATATATTAGTCTAAAAAAATAAGTGATATTTATAGGTGAAAAAGAAATACAAAAGAGCCTAAACATTGTGGATTTACAATATGTAATAAAGCCTAAACATTGTGAATTCGTTCGTATTTTTATTGTAAAATAACTGAATAAGTAACACCAAAAAGCTTGTTGATCACAGTATTGTTTTAATATCTTTTTACTAAACGTCGTCAGGAAATAATTATATTATAATAATTAATTAATTTTGATAATGTATTTTTTTCCCAAAATCTATTTCAGAAAGCGTTCCGTACTATGAAAAAATGCCGCCTGCGTACAAATTTTACTGGGCTGCACAAACCTGCACGGTTACGGTGGCCTTTGGCATCAGTATTATCTATTGGACACTTCTTCATTCAGGTAATTGTAATTTATAATGTACTTTTTCAAATTAGAATTCGAATCTTAAATAAATTTTCATGCTAATTAAACTATCGAGGGCAAAACGCTTTTCTAATTTCTTAAAAAGTGCATTTTATTATTTAGCCGGAAACCATTAGAACAATTGAAACTTGGTCACCAATTCCGATAAATTATTAAAAATTCATGATTGTTCAGTAAATGAAGATAGGAACACTGAACTTGCTGTTCTAGGTCAATGCCATATGAGTTATTTAATTTTCTTCTGAATATTGAAGTTGAAATATATTGATATACTTAATTCAGCAGTCAAAGTATAAGTTTTCATATCATATTACTTGAAACAAGAAAAATAAGAACTCAGATTTTTTTACCCTTTTGCAATTGAAGGCGCAAGTGTGAAAATGAAAAAGTTATTGCGCATTGCTTTCCTAAATAGAATATTTCAAAAAAAAAACTTTACAAAATTATATATCTTATAAAGATTTTTTAACACAAAGTAAAAATATTTTTTCAAGAGCTTTTATAATTTATACAGAAGTGATTACTAATTTGTATTATACAAATCTGGTACGAGAAGAAAATATATATATATGTGATTCTTTCGCAAATAGAAAATTTCAAATCATTATGCATTAAATTTATGTATCTGCTCAAGATTTTGTAACAGAAGTGATGAAAAATAAATATTATAAACAAAAATCCTATTTCTCCGATACTTTTCTGTTACCAACTTGACTATGTTTGAAAAATATGTTTGTTATTTCTAAAAATCCTTGAATAAAAGTAATAAATAATATTAATTTTATTTACATCATTTAAATAAATGGACTCTTTAAAATTTGATAAAATTTTTACAAAAAACTGACAAACAGCCCACAAAATTTAAATAGATTTAATTCAACTTCAGACAAGAATGTTCGTTTTTTTTAATTAATCCCTAATTGAACAAATATATTTTTTTCTCTATTTTACTATATTAATTTAACAAAATTTCAATTTAGAAAAAAAACTTATTAAAATGAAAAGAAATCAAGTGTATTCGTTAATGCAAGGAATTGAAAGACTATTTTTTTGGTAAAAGAATTCAAATGCATTATTTTGGGTCTTATCTAAAAAAAAAAAAAAAAACAGACCCACAGACCCATTTCATTTAACAAAATTTAAATTCAATTTCAAACAAAAATGTTCGTTTTTATTTTAAATTAATCCCTAATTGAACAAATATATTTTTTTCTATATTTTGCTATAATAACTTAACAAAATTTCAATTTAGAAAAAAACTTATTAGAATGAAAACAAATCAAGTGTATTCGTTAATGCAAAGAATTGAAAGACTATTTGTTTGCTAAAAGAATTCAAATGCATTATTTTGAGTCTTATCTAGAAAAAAAAAAAAAGACCCACAGAGCCATTTCTCTATTTTACTATATTAATTTAATTAAATTTAAATTTAGAAAAAGAAATTTATTAAAATAAAAAATAAATCAATGGTATTCGTTAATACAAAAATGAAGGTATCCAGAAATTGGACAAAAAAACAGACCTAAAGAACAATTTCTGCATGACACGAGTGCGCTAATGGCCAGCAAATTTGACCCACCCGAATTAGGGTATTTAATTCGATTTTAAAATAAAATAATTGACAAAAATAAGAGTCAAATAGAAATAAAATTATAGAACACTTGAAGAAGTAGATATTTTTGTAAATCTTAAGCCTTCGTCTCAGTCTTCTAATTTGTGTATTTATATTTACTAAATATAAATATAATTAATTTTATTTTCAATTCACAGCACAATACAATACTGTGATGAATTTCATGACGCATGGATGAATTCCATATTAATGATGGTGGATTTGTTCGTAATCGCACATCCAACAAAATTACTGCATTTTTACTTAGCAATAAGTGTAGCATTCATTTATGCAGTTTTTAGCGTTATTTACTTCTGGGCCGGCGGTTTAGATCCGTAAGTAGGAAAGCATTCATACAAATCTATGCTAACAACAAGATGAACAATTTCATTTTCCAGACACGGAAACCATTTCATCTACAATATATTGGATTGGAACAATCCTGGTCCAGCATTAATTGTAGTATTTGGAGGAATGATTCTAATTTTAATTCTCCATATTTTCGTGTTTCTGATTTACAAACTTCGTTTACATCTTCATGCAAGAATAAATAAGAATAACACGATGATGGTCTTACCGATATCAACTATAAGTGGTCGCACGAATATGGCATATACATATGATTGTGATGCCGAGAAAAATGGGATCAGTGATCATAAAGTTTATTAAACTTCATTTCGACTCCATAAAAATCTTGAATATATTTTGAATTATATAATATAATTATTATTATATAATTTATATATAGAAACTGATAATTGAATTTAACATTTAACTATATTCTACTAATAGCTAGAATTTATTATTTTATCTCAACACTAATTTTATCCATCCGTTAATGCCATGAAATGCCAAAGCTACGAATATGTGACAAATTCTTGTTTTTGAATAATTATTCAAACCAATGTAAACAAAAGTCAAACACATATTTGACTTTTTTGCATTTCTTCAGAATTTTACTCTGTATTTATACCTAAGTTAGAATAAAATATGTAATATAGTCTATTACCATTGGCATTTGGTGATTGAAATTGTGATCCATCAGACACAAAGAATATAATATAAGATTTGTTCAATAGGCTTTGGAAATCACTACACCACAAAAAACTAGTTTTATGATTTACCAAAATCTCTATAGATTATTTTATCAGGGTAGAAGAACTTGATCTTGCCTGCATTTATAGACTCTTTTAGCTTAAAAACAATAAATATTTAATATTGCTTGATTATATAGATATACTTTGTCTAGATATAAGACCAAAAATGTATGTATATTTTTGCAATATGTAGTGAAAGATTTAAGTATTCAACTTAAAATGTGTGATATTTATGCTAAGATATATTAGTATTTATATTATTTAGATAAAATTTTAAATGAATTTTAATATTTAAATATAGTGCCTATAATGAAATAGTATAGTTTGACTATTATTCTCATTCTTATATTAATTATGTATATAAATTGAATAAACAATGAATAAAAAAAATAATATTTTATTTAAAAAAGTAAGACACTGTATATCAAAACACTTACACTTATGAAATAGAATAGATGTATTATGCAAATATATTATTCATTAGATATACAGCTTCATTATCACAACCGCATATAGCCTTTTCACGATTGAGATCCAATGTGTTTATTGGTTTATGCAAACCAGATATCAATGCAAATACTTGAAGCCTAAAATTGAAATTATTGACTAATTGTATAAAAAACTTACCTACATTAATAATTCAATAAACAATAAGTTCAAATGCACTTGATTTTATAAACACAACCATCAATTGTAAATTAATTTTTTTTTCCAATTATCTACATTAAACACATTTTTGTCAGGCAATATATAACAGCCAATCTTAAATTCTTAAATTTTTTTCATAAATATGAATTTTGTTTTAAGGTTGTGTTAAATAATATTAAATTCAAAGGCGACAAAAAAAAAAGCAGCTACTATGCAACACATTTTTACAGCCATCTTAAATAACTTAATAATAATGAATGATAGGAGATATTAAAACCCGTAATACTTCAATTAAATAAAAGAAACGGCATTCCTACGTTAGAATTTTATTTTATTAATGACCATTGTAAACGTTTTGAAAATAATGTACTTATTTCTGTGAAAAAGCAATGATATATACTGAATACATATATTAGTAGTACTATCATTGATGACATATAATACTGTCAGTTATTAAAAAGACTCCTAGCAAAATCACCTACAAAAAATGTGCTTTGACACCGTCCACAGAAACAAATTTACTGCGCATCTGGTGTTCGATAAAAGTAAAATTTTCCGCCTTTCATAAACAGTCCAATAATCAGGTATTTCTACCTGCGCCGCACAAAATGTGTTAACTACCCAATACCATACAAAAAAGCACGATTTCAAGAAAATAAATTCGGCTCTAATTCCATACACCTCAACATAAAATCTTTTTCAAATAAATAAATGCAATAATAAAAGCTTATAAATATTCACTTACTTTTGTTTCGATGATTCTGAATTAAGCCACGCCATTCCATCACTACCTCCAAGCTTCTCAGCATCCCAATGCCATAATTCCCCATTAGCAGAACTTGAAAAAAGTTTATTTGGCCTGTCTGGATGGAATTTCAATTCAGTGATTGAATCTTGATGTGCAGATAATATAGAAACTGGATATGAGGCTAAGCGTAAGTCCCAAATAGCCATTGATCCATCCTCATTTCCGGCCAGAACCTTAAAAATAATAAATATAATAAATAATGTGTGTTAGAAAATATAATAAATAATGTATCAGATATAAATAAATATATACATATAAAAGATAATATTATTCAATAAATATATTAAACAATTATTTACCATATGTCTTTGTGTAGGATGATGAGTTATACACGTGGTGGCTGTATGGTCTCCACTTTTCATAAAAGTAGATTCTACTTTGGCATCTTTTTGTGGGCATCTGATATCCCAACTTCGCATTTGTCCTCTTAAATTTCCTGTTAAAATCTATAAGAAGAAAGAAGTATTTAAAATTTGTTGTAGTTTATTAAATTTAAATTTTAAACACAGACATACCTCATTATGTTTTAGAAAACACACACAAGTAATTGTACAACTGTCAGCGTCGTTAATTGTACAAACAACGTCCCTTTGATTAGCTGTCAATAAATTTATTCTAAAAAATAGTATTCCGTAAAATAAAAATAAGCTTTTAAAAAGTAATCTGTCTGAGTTTACCTTCCATCTTCTCCGACAGTGACTATATCACCATCATATACATCTAAGCCTGTACAAGAAGCTTTTTCTGACTTCCATTTATGTAATGATTTCCAGCTGAGAACTTCCATAATTCTAGGCGGTAAATCAGAACGCCGAGAGATTCTATATTGTTTAACATCACCTAGAAAAATGAAATAAAAATATAATAATCAACAACTTAAATTCAAGATTAATCTAATTTGAATAATTATTCAAAGCTTTGGTTTTAATCGCTTAATTTTTCAATAAATTGTACAATTGTACAACACTGGTACAATTTTTGTAAAATGTCTATTATCTGCATTATAAATTGAATAAAATTTAATAATAAACATTCTCTTAGAAGTATGAAAAAGGGGAAATAATTAAAAAATGCTAATATATATAAATTGATTTATTATTTGACAATTAACAACTGACCGTTACTAGATGAAGCAACAAAATTTTCTGTATTATTTTTGAGTAGTAACAATTCTGTAACATCGCCTGAAAATTCTATTTCAGCTTGTTCTTCTGGTGAGACCTCAGAATCATCTTCAGCAGGTTTATGAGACCATAATCTAATACTGTTTTCAGAATTTTCCCAACTTCCAGTTAAAAATGAATTACCCTCCACATATTGTTCTTGAATCCAACGTATTTTATTAATTTTTTGAGATACAAAGGTTCCAATAACACTAGAGCTATACATTTTTTATTTGTCTATATATTGTAAAATAAATTATATTTATTTAGTAATGAAAGGTAAATTTGGCGCATGAAAAGCGTTTACAAATTTATTCTAACCTCAATATTTTCTAACTGACAGCCGAGAGCAATAATATTGACATTGACACATTTCAGACCATCTTTTACACACTTCACACTGAAGACTTTTTAAGTAGCAGCTAGATTATGAAAAAAATGCGACTTGTAATATTTTTTAATACTGCATCATTTTCATCAATTATCACTCAAAGTTAAAAAACTATACATTGTATGAAGTAATTACGAGTTTAAAAAAATATTTTTATTGCAAAGGGCGAGTTCATTAATCACGTGAGGTTTTTAGAGGGAAGGGGAGTTTGACAAAAAATCACAAAATATCACGTGGGGGAGGGTAGGTGAGATATAACGTGTATTCAATTTTTACTTGATTTCTTTTTAAATCCAAACATTTAAAAAAAATCAAAAATTCTACAATTTTTTCTCGTAACAGAAGTACATGTGATGTTTGGTTGGGGAGGGGGATAATTTTGAATATCATCACGCACCACTAATAGGGAGGGAGGGTCCCAAAATCATTTGAAAAATCGATTACGTGATTAGTTTATATATAATATAATAATAATAAATAGTAGTCTGCACGAAGGCAGGCTTATGGTATCCCACCGCCTAATCGATTAACATTGATTTACAACCAATAATTACTTTCGTCTGCAATTGTCTGCATTCTTCTTCTTTCCATTCCTTTCAGTCCTTCTTTTTTACCCTCATCGTTTACGACGTCGTGCAAGAGGGACTCTTTTTGCAGAACGGGTCCGATCCAGTTTCCTTTTCTCTTCAGGATTGTTTTCAGTAGAGTCCTTTCTTCGCCCACTCTTTTCAGGACTCCTTCATTTGCTATCTTGTCTGTCCTCTTTATCTTCTCCATTCGCCTTCAGCACCGCAGTTCAAAACTCTCGCGAGGTAGTTCTTATCGGGCTTTCTTAGAGTCCATGTCTCCGATCCGTACAGAGCAAGTCGAGACTCAGTTTGCTCATCAGTAGCGTTCCCTTCTTCGTGGATGCCACCTTGGCGCTTGTAATCCCTGTCCTGATTTCTCTCGTGCTGTATCAGTATATTAATTTTTATATTTTAACAGCAATCAGAACCTAACGTCCTAGCTGTTGGGCTAAAAGCTCTCCATACTTCGTATTTTTAGATGGTAACCCAATTGCCAATCCATCCATATTTGTTGATTTTATTATTAGAAATTATGCAATAGAGCTGATTTTTTATTGGTGCAGTAATGCCGAGCAAGAGCTATTTTCACTCCTGTTCGACAACAGGCTGCTCGAAGCGGGTCTCGAACCCGGGACCTCTAAATCAAGTCCCGTCGCTTACCTACCGTCGAGTCAATTATACATTTGAAATTTTATTTTAACTAAAATATAAATTTACTAAGATATTGAAATCTTATATTTGATGGAGTCAATAGATGTTTGCAACATAAAATGTTTGCATCAATAATTTTTAAATAATTATTGGAAATATAATTTAGCAAAACATATACATAGTTATTTTAATAAATTATATTTTACTTGAATAAATTATATTTTACACCAAATTTAGTGAATTTTCTAAAACGTGAATAATAACAATTATATATAATAAATTATTTCATTTATTGGATATGTTCTATAAATATAATAATTTTGATCTAACACAATTATTGCGAATTAACTTAAAAATATTAATACTTTTAATTATCACAATATTATTAACAATACAGTTTTAGAATCGACAAATAATTTAGAGAAAATCAACATATTTAATAAATATATCAGCCATGCATATTGCTTGTTATACTTTTGTATCAAAAATATATGCTTAATAATATTTTAAATAATAATATTCGAAAATATCTAAAAAGTACAATTTATTTAAATTTTGTTCTAAAATTAATTTTCTAGTTTTTGTTCTAATTAGAACATTACAAGCTTTGGTAGACTTTACTATTATTAATAAAAATAATTTGACTTGAATTAGATATGTGCTAAATAAATAAATGAAACGTAGTGTTAATAACTATTTGGAATGATTTTTAATAACTAAGCAAATCAATCTACATAGTTTTATGATTGTAATTAATACTAATAAAATGTTTTGCTTGTTAATTGCAAAACATGTGTGCTTAAATTACTTATAGTGTTTTAAACATATTTAACAAATTAATGATAAATATGGTAAAGATATGTATAATTTTTAGTATACGTGGACATGTTTTATACCAAAAGGTATCATAATGCATTGCATTTAATCATGAGATTCGCTTTAAATTTTTCTTGTACAGTCTTTTTATTGATGCCGTATGTGTAAACAATTTTGTTTGATCATTTAAATAACAGATGCATAAAACAAATACAATTTTTTATTTGTATCATAGGTTGTTAATAAAAGAAACGACTTCAAGTACACAAATTTTAAAAAGTTTTCCTATACAGAATTTCATCGTAGGCTGCTTATGTATATCAAGTATATGTGCCTTAAATTTATTTTTGTTTAAGAAGAAACTCTTTGTGAGATTTTTTAATATTTCATCAAATTTAAAATTTATCTTCAATATAAAATTACATTTTATGCAACAGTTATTTTCAATCAAATGTGTATGCTTACTCAAACAATTCAAAAAATATTCGTACCCGTAGCGATCAGTCTGCATTTGCAAATATCGTTTGCAATTAAAGGCAGTCATTTATTTATTCATTTCAAATTAATTATATGACTTTACTTTATCAATTCAAGCTGTATTATTAATTATTACTTCCATCGGCAACGAGAGAAGTGATGCGTGGACAGGATCAGGTTTTTGTGGTTTCACTACTCGAAGATATATCAGTCTTCTCAACCAGGCGAGGAAAAAGACTAAAGTATGGACCAGGACATAACAAACCAATCCGAAGAGACAAAATCCGATAGATATGCCTGGTTTCCGCCAGTCCAGAGCGGTGTAAATGAATGGTTCCATTTTCCTAGAAAATTGGGTGTAATTAGACAAAAATGTGGATCGAAGAAAATATAGTAAAAATTGCAGTACTTTTATAACATAGATTCTATTGAATGTAATAGGAATTTTGTTGCTCAAGACGCATAGCAGCTAATTTTTTTCATCTTATACTGCATTTTTTTAAGTATTTACCTGGACAGTCCTCCTGCACAATAGTATATCCAGCTAAAAGTCAGATACAGGATAGCAAACATGAGTGACCAATGCATATGGAGAAGTCTCACAGGATGTGCAACCAGGAACAAGTCGATGATCATAACCACAGAATTGACAATATGCACCATCACAGTGACAACGTTGAATCCCTCTTCTGATGAAAAAGAGAATCGATTGTATGACATAATAATTCATTCTTAACTGAATCATTCGACAATTTATAAATGTCGAAAATAAAAAACAGCCTTGACATTAATTGAAGTGGAAATAGATGCCAACACGTTATTGGAATTTGATGGTTACTAATAAAAATAGATAAAAATAGAATACTTTCTGTTGAGAGTAATAGGTAAAAATATCTTTTACAGCTTAAAATGAAACTTAATTGTATTCATTTCATTCATAAACGACATTGTTTGATATTTTGAGTATCATTTTTCCATATTATTTCATATTTCATCATACTACGGATATCATTTTAATGTTAATTCTCTCCTTTGTACTCTTTTTTATTTAAATTTATGTTATTGTTCATTATTATTACCAGATATTGAATTATTTAACCGTTGTAATAAATATTGTAATTAAATAAAATCATATTTTGTGTAATGCCATTCCAATTATTGAATAGTTAAAATTGAATGGAAGTAGTAATAAATATTAAAATTTTAGACTATTATCATAAAAAGCAAACATAAAAGTTCTCTAAATAATAAGAAAAGCTTTATAATTTATAAGATTTTATAAAATTGTAATTAGAAGCTCATTTTATTTATTGTTAAGTTAATATTTTTTAATCTAATAATTCAAAGGTAAATTCTTGAAATTCCTAAATAGTTAACAAAATGTTAAAATGTATTAAAATTTTTTTTGTTTTAACAGTTGAAGAATGAGACTTCCCATATCTCCCGAACATAGAATTATATAGCTTTATGGTCAATGAGCTTTTATGAGATTATAATTAAAAGCTTATTTTATTTATTGTTAAGCTAATTTTATTTAATATTTTTAAATCCAATATTTCAAAGGTAAACTCTTGAAATTTTTAAAGAATTAACAAAATGAATAAATGTATAAACATTTGTTTGTTTTAATAGTTGGAGAATGGGACATCCTATAAATTCCGAACATATAATTATATAGCTTTTTGTGAATGAGCTTTTATGAAATCCCATCCCCTATCTCCCGAATATGGAATTATCAATAAAAAAATTTAACATATTTGAGAAGAAAACGAGGCTTTCGTGGATTCTTTGTGAAAAGTTCTAAAAGTAATCGATTTTCAGTTGACGGATTGTAGAAATACTTGTTATTAATTAGAAACAAAACATCTTTTAAATACCATATTTGTAAGCTGAATTATTTGATTTTTTTTATATAAATTTCACCAAACAAAATTTTTTCTTATCTAAAAACAATATTCCATAATATTTTGAAAATTAATTAAAATTATAATTTTATATATAAATTATAAATTATCTATTATAATTTGCTGAAAATAAATTGAAGTGTTACTTGTATATACAGTATTCTTAAGCATTTTAAGTAAGTTTAATAAATTAATATATATTATCAATCATTTTTGCATAAATTTTGAGATATACTCGATAAAACAAAATATATGTAAACACAATTATTATTGTTACCAAGAATATATGAATATATTCATTCATGTTGCAGGAAATGATATTTCAAATGCGTTAATAGATATTTATTTTGCTATACGTCGATTTTAATAATATACATATTTAAACAAAAAGAATAATAGATGTTTAAACTTAATATCGTCATAGCACAAAAAATATTGAATGGAAAACCGTTGATTCTTGAAAGCATCTCATTGGTTAGTAAGAACATTTAGTGGGAGTTTAATCCATAATCAATAGGCGACGATATTTTTTCTAAATATTGCTTATACAAATATTAGTGATACTATACTATACTGAATAATTGTATTAATTAATAAATAAGAATAGTGAGCTAGCATTTTCAACATCCCATCAACTCTCGACTCTCTTGTACTTGGTAGAAAAAAGCTTCCTGAATCCATTTAATATTTACAGCAAATAAAAATGTTTATTTTATTCAAGAATTAAGTAATAATTATTGAGTTCTATTATATTCCGATGACAAAAGTATATTTGAATATAAGGCGACTCAAGCAATTTTAATAACTTGATTGAAGTATCAAAAAAAATCTGAGTTCTCTCTGAGATGGAGATCTGATGAACGGACAGATATTGAATAGACGGATAGGCCTTTCAAAGCCTTTTGATGATACGATAAAAATAAGTATATAAATAAATTAAATATGAAAATACCTGGATTAAATACCATAACCCAATATACTGCTGTTATCACAATAGCCGAATTGACAGTCAACGTATGAAGCACCCAATAAGTCTTCGCAAAAAGTGTCATTCTTGACGGATTATTAGCAGAATTCCTCTCTACTGCATTACCTTTTGAAGAAAACATATTTTTATAAACAACGATAAATATTTTAAGACAAGACATAAAAAAATCTATTATATATACTCACATGATGACTCTCTGTCTTCATGTTTCCTATGTGCCACAAGTGTCAGGGCCATAAGACTTTGTATTACACACAATGTTATGCCCCAATGGGTCAAGTAAATTGGCCATTTTGCATAATAACCATTCGGGTTCTTCAACCTTAAACCTCCTGGGTCTCCACCAGAGACGAAGAACATTACCAAGCAGGCCGCCACGTGCACGGCGCGGTAGATCAGGTACCACGTGGATGTGTCCGCTGTTTTTTGCCACTGATAAAAAATAAATTTGATAAAAATATTACGTCTCTCATTATTTTAGTTGATGAAGTATTTATATTTTTACTAGGCTCTGCAAAAATGATGATCATTTGCACAATTGTTATTTTAAAAAATCCACTTTTTTGGAAGAAACATGCTATTTGTTTGAACCATCACAATTATGGTATTAAGTTTTGTAGTATTGAATTTTCTAATATTTGAAAAATGTTGTACATAATGCAAAGCATAATTTATATATTTTAATTCTTTTTTTTAATTAATTTAATTATTAAAAAATTTATTTAATACTTTGTAACTAATTTAATAGTTTTTTTTTAATTCCTCCTATTGCAGTTACAATTGGTAAGAAGCATCAGATAACATTTAACATAAAAATCATTTTGGTTAGAATTTAACAAAAACTGAGGATAGTATTCCCATAGAATCACCATTTACGTGATGATGATATAGTAAAAAATGGAAATTAAAAATTTATCAAAAAAATATTACATAAATTTAATACAAATAATCACATTTTTTAAAGAGCAAGCTCTTTACACTATTGATGAGTATTTAAGATATAACTTTTGAGTAAATTATTCTGTGTTTTTTATTTTTTTAATTTTACTTTCATATTGAAGGCGAAACTTAGAATAGATAAGAGTAATCATTTATTTTTTAAATTATTTCATTTAATATAGTATGTATTAATTTAAGTCATATACTATTAATATCTACAATTGTATAAATGTGTTGTATAAATATAAATATTAATATAAAATTGAATTTTATCAATAATTTTTGTAATGTTCATATTTTATAATACTTCAAAATACCAAGGATGTTGTTTCATATACAAAGCAATAATTTGATATAATACTATTGATTTAATTTAATACTGATTAATTATTTTATAATTAGTAAATCAGTATAAAAGTAATCTAAAGCAGAATATTCTCTAGATTGGTGAATAATTAACAGGCTTTGCAAAAACAATTAAATAATGTTAAATTAAACCAAAAATTTTGAAATGAAGCATTTTACACATACAAAATAAAATTTGCCAAAAAAAATAAAATCTATTTAATACAATAATCATAAATAAGCTTTATTATTAGTTCTTCAGAGTATGAATTTATCAAAATTTCAACATACCACCTTCCATACTAAATAATACTATTAAATGGATTTACTACTATTTTATTTATTTAATTTATTCAGGGCAAAGCACTTTAAGATAAAATAATGTTTATATTTTGGAATATTTAAAAATTAATGCAAAATCGATTAAATATTGTAAAAATGAACACAAAAAATTAAAATAAGCATATTTTTTATACAAAATAAAAATTAAAAATTTACTCAAAAATATAAAATCAATTTAGTACAATTTATATTATTAGCTTTTGTTATCCTTGAATTTTTCAATATTAAAAAAAACACTTTCTATACAAAACATCAATTTAATTTAATAGTATTAAAATAGTACAATGCTATTTATTTTTTTAATTTAATTAGGGGTACAAAAATACATTTTTTATTCAAATAAATTATTTTCATAATTTTCTCTAGATATTTAAATGATTAACAATTGCAGAGTCAATTAAATAATGTTGAAATAAACAACAAAATTTAGAATAAACCATTTTTCTTATACGGAAATTGCAATTTTTTCAGTGGTTATTACAATCAATAAAATTCATTAAATAAAATCTTTTAAACTATTTACGAAAAAATAAATATTCAAAAATTTTTCATTGTTTTTAACAATTCCTGAGGAACAAGTCATCCTATATTTCCTAAACTTTAATAAATTTAATAATTTTGTGTAAAAGGCTTTATGTTCAAATTTTATAATATTTTTCACAAAAAATACACGATCAATAAATTTTGTTAAATCAAATCCACTAACTATTTGCGAAAAATTAAATACTGATCGCCTCAGAAAGGCATTTAGAGTAACGGTAAGTAATTTTTGTAAAAATGACAAATCATTGCGCAAATTATAAATATATGAATCAAATAATAATTTTATAATAAGTATGTTTCCAAATAATATTTACGTGAAATTAAATTTGCCTTTCTAAATTTTTCTCAGTGCTTTTTCAATTATAAAGCTATTTTTAATAGAAATGCATTAATTCATATGACTTGTGAAATTTAAATTTGCTTTGATTTTATTTAACTAAATATGATTTGTGATTAAAGAAGAGAAGATACTTACTTGACATTGTGAAAATACATGTGGCTTTTTGTGCTCTAAATTATATGCTTTTAACTTAAACGATTGAGATAGTATTCCGCCTGAAATTAAAAAAAAAAACAATCTCAACATAAAGAAATGTTTGTTTATTGCACAGTCTTCATTTGTTTTTTATGATACACTAATCGATTGAATAAAATATAACAAATGTATTGTTATATATGTAATGTATATCATGTAATATGTATGTAATGTAATATATATGTAATGTTATTAAAATAATTAAAATTTTGAAGAAAATGATCTAACTAATCAATCCAAAGTAGATTAAATAATTATCATTTGTTGAATTCATAATTTGGACAAAACTGCACTTCAATGGGGATACTCACAAACATAATTGCAACACTTGTTCTTTCTAATACGTGTCATTACAAAAATAGTCTTTTAAAGCAAATTTCAAGATATGGCAATATAATGCACAAAACTCAATATAATAATTAGCAAAACATATTTCAACATCCAAAATAATTTTGATAGATTTATAAACTTTATCCACGCCGTCAGACATCAAACTGTCCAAGATGCAAAAACAAAACTTGTCGCAGCTCCAAAGGGATCTTTGATTTGCTGTTTGATGATTCAAAAAGAGCAGGACATAGGCGGTAAGTGTTCGCATTATTGTCCGAAATGCGAATACAATTGAAATCTATCAGTCATAAAACACCTCCGACAATGGGATCAATTTGAAACAATTAAAATCTCATCCATCGAGTCGAAACCTTAGACCTCTGACTTGGGAAAAAGTAGAATGTAGAAGCGTGCGAAACTTATACACGTGTTGTTACTCGCTTTTATTAATAATGATTTATTCGATAAAAATTGGTGTTGATATTTGAAACCTTAAGGGCCAACGGTTTTGACCTGATTTGTGATGGAAAACATAATGATCAGTAATCCCTAGTAGACTTGTGAATCCACCAAAAAACAAGTATCTGCAAAAATTAAATTTAAACTGGCAGGTTATTAACGACAAAATAAGGATCTGTGGATTAATAATTGATTAAAGCTAAGAATAATTCCATTGAAAATATTTAAAATATTGCTCTTTTGTTCTTGAGGCTTCCTATCTGTTAAAGCTGATTCTACCATTCGACTACTTTATATCGAAAATGCATATAAAATGCAAATTAATTTTACAAATACATTTCAAATATATAAAAGTTAAGAGCCATAACAATTTGATAATTTGAAATAATAATTTTATCGTTTTTTTGTGTAGTTTTATTGTGTTTACTACAGTATTTTATTCTATGAAACAATTTCAGTTTTGATTGGCAAAATTAAATTTTTAATACTAATTTCACCATTTGTTTTATCGAGAGCTTATATAGCTTTTAAAAATTCTTCTAACACAAATAAAAGTTGAGAATCAAAGAAATTGAATAATTTATGATTATTCTGTTTAGTTGCTCTTTTGTATTTGCTAGACTATTTTTAATTTTATAAGGAACAATCTTAGATATGATTGTCAAAATTAAATTGTTAATGTTCATTGGTCATATCATTGGCCAAATTTTAATTGAAAACGTATGTGTAGTGTAAATAAAAGTGAAAAACTATAGACATTTAATATTGTTGAAATACTTATTTTATTACTCTTTGTGTTCACTCCAATATTTTATTTTATGAGACAATTTTAGTTTTAATTGGCAAAATCAAATTTTTAATACTAATTTTATCACTTGATTTATCGAGAGCTCTATGATTTTAATTTTTTTCTAAAAGTTGAGAATTAAAGAAATTGAATAATTTCTAAATATTGTTCAGTTGCTCTTTTGAGTTTGCTAAACTATTTTCAATTTTATAGGGAACGATCTTAGATTTGATTATCAAAATTAAATGGTTAGTTTTATAATTTAATAAAAAACGCATGTATAGATTTTGATAACTTATATCAGGTAAATGTAATTTAAAAACAATGAACATTCATAATAATGTTGAAATATTAATTTTATTACTCTTTTGTGTTTACTCCAATATTTTATTTTATGAGACTATTTCAGTTTTGATAAGCAAAAATAAAATTGTAATGCTAACTTTATCTTTCATCGAGAACCAAGCTTGTACAGATTTTAAAAATTCTTATAAGATAAGTAAAAGTTTAAGAAACAAAAAAAATTAATAATTTTTAAATATTATTTAATTGCTCATTTGTGTTTGATAGGCTATTTTTGTTCTATAGGACTATCTTAGATTTGATTTTTAACATTAAATTGCTAATGCACATTTTATCATTGGTCAAATTTTGTCAAAAACGAATACATCGATTAAGAAAAGTTATATTTAAAAACAAAAGAACTATTATCAAAAGTTTACTCTCTTAGTAAGTTGTATAAGGCACTTTCAGTGCAATAATGAATTTTTAATACTAATTTTACAATTCGTGTGGGGATCGATTTTAAAAATTTATATTTAACAAAATTTTTAAGTTAACGACCTATGGTCTTGATATATTTTGAATTATTATTGCTCTTTTGTTTGCACCTCACTAATTTGCCTCTTAAACTTCAATCATCGTCATAAGCTAAATTATATCAGAATTCAATACTTTATCAATTTAAAATATAATCTATTATGTATGCTATATATTTTATATTTATTTATATTTATATTTTTTACAATTACTATTTCAACTTACCTTTCTGTGGCAAAAATTTCAAACACGTTTCTTCGCCCTTTGACTTTATATTATTAGCTACCATCTTCAAGATTTTAGTCAAATAAATATGTTATTATAAGTAAACTTAAAACGAATATCACGAAATCTGTAACAACAAAAAAGATACATTTAGCAAATAATAAAATGAATCATAAAAATAAATAACTACATGAACATCGCGGTTTAATTATAGCATAAAAATCAATAAACTTAGAGTCTAATACGTTTGATATGAAGATTATTTTTTGCCTACCCTAATATATATTAAATTAAGTGTAGTTAAGTTTTCTTTGAAGATATATATTTTGAATGTTACAGAAAAACGAGTCTTATAATTGATGAGTTATTTTTTTCTAATTTTAAATTATCATAAATCTATGTTCACATATTATAATATCACAATTCTCTGATATAATGTATAGTTTTTAATTTTTTTAAATTACGATATGATTGACCCAAGATTTTTCTATATTTGTAGAATCAACAACTTATATTGAATTTTAATATTACATGATTGTATTAATGTAATATTAAAGTAATTGTATTAAAAATCGTGTTTGTCTACCAAAAATAATAACAAAATTAAATGTATTTCATTTAATTTAGAGTGGAATACTATTTAGATTTATCGAATATAGTTGAATAAATAAAAGTAATAATATATTTCATTATTATGTACGTATATAATAACACTACATAAAGATTCTGTAAAACTAATATTTAAAATTAATTTTATTTGTTAAATTGTGTAAAATATATTATGCGATTTTATAATTAGACTTCATAATATTTTTATAATATTAATATCGATTTCCAAAAATAGAATAAACTATTATTTGGTATTTACGTTCTTTTAAAATTGAGATATTTCAATAAAATGAAATATTGTTTCATTATTATGTATAGGTACATTATTTTATTTAGGTAGCATAAAAAATTAAGGAATTCATATGAATGAAACATAAGTTTTGCTGTTTTAAATACTTGTGGGATATAATTCAAATAAAAACCTTTAACAAGTACAAATAATCAAATTTCTCAAATAATGAAACCAATTTTGAAATTCAAAATCATAAATGCATGTTTAATTAATTCTAACCGAATTAAAGACAAAATATAAGAAACATAAAAATCTCTTCTTTTTCAAATATTAAATTTTTTATACTGATATAGGGAAGAGCGGAGCTTAAAGGTCCGTGGGCAAAAAGGTTCACTGCCGGTATCTTAAAAACTAGTAAAGTTAAGAATGTATTTAAAACAATATTTGCAAGTAGAGAGAAAAAGGTGTATAAATTGCCATCACCTTACAAATTGCAGTGTAGACAATTGCAAATAACAAGGTAATTAAGTTTAAAAAAAAAACTATTTTTTAAGAGATAAACTAAATAAATAGTTATTCCAACTCTGCTGATGACGAAATCAGATAAATGACGAACAAAAATCAAAATTATTTACAGTTTACGTTAATTCTGTAAAAAATGCATCCCTAAAATTTATATTTTGCATTGATTGAATAATGTAGCAATTATTTATACTTAGAACCCTATGACCGACCCAATTTACCCTGCTTATGGAGTAAAAAATACCAAGATTCAAAACCTTTGTGCTCTGCCTTATCCTAGAATATAATTTAGTGTAATAAAAAAACAATAAATTTGAAACAAAAACAAAAATTTTGCGATTTTTTAAGTACCGGTTTATAATTCAAATGAAAAATTTTAAAATATTAAATTTATATAATAAACTTTTAACAATATATATATATATATATATATATATATATATATTTAGAATTTAGAGATTATCTAAAATTTGTTACATAAGGCATTAGGTAATCTTAATTACATATTTACATAGAATATTTATCAAATCTTATAATATCACCCTTTTATATATCTTTCATTAAAAAATATTTATTTTATACTATATAAAGTTATTTATTTAAAATTAACTCTTAACCTATATACCGGCACCAACAATTGGAACGCGCACGAAATAGACCTCGATATCAAACTCAAACCATAGAGTACCGTAAAAAATAATACTGAAGTACTTACTAATCACACCTATTTAATTTGTCTATTATAATTTATTTTATAAATCCATTTTTACACACAGTCAATCACTTTCTGACAGCATTAGATCATAAAAAAGTCACATAACCCACTACTATGTAGATTTCGCGTTAAGGCGATACATGCGCATTATCGATTTCCCGAAGGATATCATATGCACATGCGTAAATCGCGGCCCATTTTAGACAAAACAAAAACTTAGGTTACACTATCATTAAAATATCATTTATAATATTTAATTATAGTTCTGAAAAAATATAAGATCATATTTCAATCAAATTAACTTGAAAAATCGAGTGAGTAGCTTAGAAGACAATTGTGTTGTGACTTGTGCCAAAAATGTGAATACTAATATATACGATTCAAAAATTGTGGTTCATTGTTTTAACCTTAAAATAAATATTAATCATAGTGACTAATAATATTGATTATTATTATCACACGACAATGAATTAGTTTAGGTGGTTGGTAATCAGACTTCTGGGCTATTTTGGTATGAAATCGATTTTTGTTGAATATTTAATTAACCTGAAGATAAAATGATTAATAATTTCATACAAAGCGATTTAGAACACATTTGTATCTGCTGATTTTTTCCCATTATTAATATTTTATTATATAATTAATTACGTTTATCAACTGTGGAAATATTCTGTATGAATTAAAATATAAATAACTAAAAATACAAATGTGTTCTAAAGTTCTTTGTTATGTTTACTAGCAAATTATTTAAAATATTTCTGATTATTTTCCTGATGAGTTGATAAACTTCTGCATAAATATACAGTTTTCCTTTAATTATTTATTATTTTTAATATGTTTACAAGAACCAAATTTAAATTACCATATATAGTAAAAACATAAAAATAAGATAAGAAGAACGCTTGTGTTGGCAAAACTTCTATTTTATTTTTTTTTAATTTATAAAAAAAAATTTTTTTTGAATATTGAAAAATCATTAACTTAACCTTCTGCTAGATAATAGATCCCAAAAATATTTATTTTCCTTGTATTCTTCGTATCATTTATTATTTTTAATATGTTCACCAGAAATGAATTATAATTACCACATATAGAAAAAATATAAAATTATATTATTGTTTTTATCTCTCTAATTTGTTAGCTAAAATACGCATTTAGTTTCCGGAATTTTTGTAACAATGGGAAAAACATTTAATCATTAATTTATAGTATCATTATCTAAAAGGTATAACAGGTAATAGGTTTAAAAAAATATAATTGTTTTCCATTTATGTTTTTTTATTTTTAATATCTTTACTAGAACCAAAATAATAGTCACCATATAGTAAAAACATAAAAATATGGTATTGTTTTTATCTCTCTAATTTGGTAGCTAACCTAAGTATTTAGTTTCCAATTTTTTAATTAATATTTAATTGAAGTATCATTAACTTAATCTTCTGCCAGGTAATAGATTTCAAAAATATATTCTTGTTTTCTTTTTTTATAATCATTTTTAATATATTTTCAAGAACCGAATTATAGTTACTATATATAGTAAATACTCAAAACTCATATAAAATAAAAAAAAATGATATCGTTTTCATATTTTTAATTTGTTAGCTAAACCACGCATTTAGATCCCGAAATTTGTGTAATGATAGAAAAAAATAATATTTTAATTTTAGTATCATTACGTGAATTTTTTACCAAGTAATAGGTTTTAAAAATATCTTCTTGTTTTCTTTTTATCATTTATAATTATTTTTAATATATTTTTAAGAACCGAATTATAATTACCATATATAGTAAAAACTTAAAACTAAAATCGTTAATAAAATAAAAAATGATATTGTTTTCATCTTTTTAATTTGTTAGCTTTTTAATTACAGTATCATTACCTGTATTTTCAACCAAGTAATATTTTTAAAAATATCTTCTGATATTCTTCATATCATTTATAACTTTTAATATGTTTACCAAAACTGAATTATAATTAATTACTATATATAGAAAAAATATAAAATTTTAATATTGTTTTATCACTCCAATTTGTTAGCTAAACGTGTTTAGATTTCAAAATTTTTTAATAACAGAAAAAGTATTTAATATTTCAATTATAGTATTATCACATAAAGTGTTTATCGAGTAATTTCAACCTATTTAATTTAGTATTAACGTATTTAGTTACCATTTTTATTTTAATAATAAAAACAACTTTTAGTATTTTACCTGAATTTTCCAACAGGAACAAGATTTCAAAAATATCTTTGCTTTTTCTTCAACATTATTATTATTATTTTAATATATCTACATAAATAAAATTATAATTACCCTATCTATATAGTAAAAACAAAAATATATTAGTTTTATGTTTTCAATTTGTTAGCTATTCTGTGCATTTAGTCCCCGATTTTTTTGTAACAATGGAAACATTATTTAATATTTGAATAGTAGTATAATTAATTGAATTTTCTACCAGGTACCAGGTTTCAAAAATATATTTGTTGTTCCTGTATCGTTATTATTATTATTTTTGTATGTCAACATGAACCAAATTAAAATTACCAAAATTCCAATTACCAAAATAAAATTAGTAAAAATATGGGATAGCTTTTATCTTTTTAAGTTGTTGTTATTAGTTATCCTACGTATTTTGTTTTAGATTTTTTTTTAATAACAGAAATATAATTTACTATTTATATTATAGTATTATTACCTAAAGTTTGTATAAAGCAATAGATTTCTAAAAAAAACTATTTTAACTTCCCGTAGGGTAAGTTATTGTAATGGGCCGAAAATTGGAATTGAAAATTTTTACATTTCTCGACGTTTTGAAGGTTTCTGAACATTTTGGCATACTTCAGCAAAAATGAATGTGTGTGTGTGTGTGTATGTATGTATGGATACAAATTTTCGTCCACGTTTACGGTCGCACGGATCAACCGATTTGAATGGTTCAAAAAACATTCGATTCATATTGATAGGGAGAAGAGCTGATTAGTTTTTGGCAAAGGCAGGTCCAGCCATTTCGAGGATACGGAGCAAAGAGTGAAGAAAATAGAAATCG